TCTAATACTGGTGTGCTCATTTCACCGGATGCCAATGCATAACATTGTAACAAATGTAACGACAACTATGTAAAAACACCAAAACAATAAAATGAGAGGCTACATAACAAAGCAAAATACAGACAGAGCAGGAAACATGATAAACATTCTCTGTCTCATGAAGTGTTATAATAATGCAGTATTAGAGATTTGTAGACAACATATTAAGAATCTATCTTAGAATAGCTTTCCCCTTCGTCACTACTATGCTAGCAGGAAATACTTTAAAGTGCATGTCGCCTACACAGAACCAAACAGATTTTGTGGGTGGGGCCAGTTATTCATGAGACGAGAGGCGATCGCTTCACCAGCAGCCAGTAACATAGCAGACCAGGAAGCTGATCCCTGCATTCATATAAATGTTATAGTATATACAGTGTATACAGAGATACAGCACCAATACATAATGTAAAGTGCAAGATAATATGTACAGCAGTACATCACAGGGTTCAGTGCATACAGAGATACAGCACATAGTAACCAGTATATAATGTACAGTGTATACAGAGATACAGCAAAGGGTAACCAGTATATAATGTACAGTGTATACAGAGATACAGCAAAGGGTAACCAGTATATAATGTACAGTGTATACAGAGATACAGCACATAATAACCAGTGTATAATGTACAGTGTATACAGAGATACAGCACATAATAACCAGTATATAATGTACCTTGTATACAGAGATACAGCACATAATAACCAGTGTATAATGTACAGTGTATACAGAGATACAGCACATAATAACCAGTGTATAATGTACAGTGTATACAGAGATACAGCACATAATAACCAGTATATAATGTACAGTGTATACAGAGATACAGCACATAATAACCAGTATATAATGTACAGTGATATCCCTGACACATTGGGATGGGCTTATTGAGGCTATTCCACAATATTTGAGGGGCCCAATGGAGATTTTGTACCAAAGACCCCATGGTATTTTGCTATGCCTTTGGAACATGGGCTGGACGAGTGGTTGGTAAGCTCAAGTGAGTGACTGTGAGCCTAGGATACGGGTCACAAGGCGCGCCCTAGGGCAGGGGTGGGCAAACTCTGGCCCTCTAGCTGTTGTGGAACTACAAATCCTACGAGGGATTGCATGATTCTCACAGCCACAGAAATGACTCCCAGACACAGATGCATGATGGGATTTGCAGTTTCACAACAGCTGGAGGGCCGGAGTTTGCCCACCTCTGCACTAGGGGGTTCATTTATAAAAGTTTACAGCGGGCAGATGACGATCGCATGGCACTAGCACCCCTACATAGTGCTGATAAGTATAGAAAATCCCTGTACTCGGCAGCGCCATCTAGGGGCAAAAGTGCCGCCCGAACGGCATAGCCGGGTAAAACTTTTCTAAAACAACCCCTAGATACCTATTAACAATCTTCTAAAGAAAATCAGTCAGGACTGGGCTTACGCATACAAAAACGGCGTCCAAAAGTGATTACAATTGTGCTGGCTTACTTCCCTTCTTTAGCTTTAGTGTCTTTGTCCAAATCTGACTCTTCTCCTTGGCAGTCTATCAGTTGCTTCCCTGACCGCCTACTCCCAGATCCTAAAGGTGGCCATACACCTTACGATTATCGCACTATTATTTTCGTACGGTGATCGAACCGTCGTTCGATATTCGTACAACTGCCCCATCATGTACAGACCATTGTGGATTTCAATTAACTTTCGTTAGCAATATCACCTGGCCGAATTTCGTGGATTGACAGAACGGATTTTCGTTTGCGCATGAGCGAATCCATCAAATTTCGTACGAATCGATACGTTTTTTAGGTTGCTGGAAAGACAAAAGTCGAACAGTTGTACAGTAATTGTGGTTGTGCACTTCCCATCAACATTATTTACGAAAGCGCGATCGCAGACGAAAATCGCGTGATAATCAGGAGGTGTAGGGGCACCGTAAGAGTGCCGACCACAGGATTACTTTCCCCCTGCAAGGCAGACTGGTGTTGGGTATGTCTGTAGAGTGCCTTCTTCATCCCATAGGCACAAGCATACACTTTCGCCTCTATGTTTGCGCCTCAGTCGGTTGTTTGGTAGGACCCATAATGGCCATTTCCCTTGGCCCATTTCTGCTTCAAGCTTAGACTCTGGTGCATCAGTAGGAGGATGCACAGCAAAGAATGATGTGACCAGAGACTGCAGTGCTTCCAAAACGTACTATGCTTGACATGCCAATTCTAGTGGGAAAGCTCGCGTTTACAAAGGGTCAGAGAGCTCGGGGTGCGGTTGGAGAATTTTCTGGACATGTGCGATTCGTTTCGTTCCGAATCGAAATTCGGACGAATTTTCGGAAATTCGGACATTCGGATGTATCCGAATTCCGAATGACAGACATAACGAATGCAAACAAATCCGAATTTCCATTTCCAAAATTCGTTAGCGGTAGTTCGAACGTTCGTTTCGTTTTCGGTTCTTATTCGTTTCGTTCGTTGGAGCAAAGTGACATTAGAGAAGGAGAAAAATATTTTTCCCCCTCAAATGTCACTTTGCTGCAAACAAACGAACGAAACGAATAAGAACCGAAAACTAAACGAACGTTCGAACTACCGAATTTCGTCCGAATCCGAATTGACTTTCACACCCGAATCCCGAAAAACGAAATAACACAAATCCGAATTTAAAACGAAACGAAACTAAACAAATTTTTTGGCAGTGCACATGTCTAGAATTTTCTATATAATGCAGTTATGCTAGTGGTGGGAGCACTCACCATAATGTGCACCACATACTCACACATTATGGCAAACTCAATCTTGCCATACATTGCTTGAACTTCAGCCGCGTCCTGCTGACAGACTGAAATTTGAGCTGTGTGTGGTCCTGTTGGCATCACTGAGTTACACAAAAGTTCATATTCCAAATAGAGTGTGTCCAAATGAGCCGGACCTAAATTTGTCGGCTGAACGGTGACTTCTGCCAATCGGTTGCAGTGACTGTTCAACTATTCTGACAGCTGCAGTGTTCATCTGTCTGAATACAATACCCCAGCAGGGAAGATTCCCCCCATCTACACTGTTTTACACGAATGGGGGAAATCGAGCATTGTTTGGCCAGCTTTACTTCTGAATGAATGCTGCTCCTGCAACAAGAGCTCCATGCTCTCCACAGCTGTCACCTCCATTTTGTGGATGTTTCAACACATTGCATCTTCATTCTTTGGCCATGGGACAGCAAGCGATTGTCTAATGTATAACCAGCTTCAGTTGATCTGATTGTACAATATCCATACAATCTACTTTAGATGTGCCAAAACTATGTAATATGAGGACATACATAAAAAACCCGTTCAATCGGTATCTAATCAGGCAGCTCCTTACACCATAGTTCATAATAGGTCTGAGGTCCCCTTCACAGGGGCAATCTGATCAGGTCCATCTGTAAAAGGTGCCCATACACTGCGATCGTACGAGAATCGTGCAGTGTATGGAAGGCGTGCAACCGTTTCTAATGTACGGTCGCACCACTTTTGTATATCGAGCATGTTGGAAAACCAGCCGAGAATCGTACGATTTTCGGCTGGTTAACATGATAGAGAGATCACTGCCGAACGGGCCGGTGTGCGCACGCGCACACTGCCCGTTCAGCATTGCAGTCATCGGAAGCCCGCCCCTCAGGGGGGCGGGCTTGCGATGATCGCAAGTACAATCTGCCTGTCCGAGATGGGCAGATCGTACGTTTTTTTAAGTACTTTACAACCCTTGCAAGACAAAAGTCTTGCGAGGGTTGTAGAGTGTATGGGCACCTTAAGTTTTTTAGGTGGATCTGATCGGAAGCCCAATGTTGCTCTCAAGTCAACTAGATCTAAACGGATGGGTGTCCATTTACATCTGATTACCCTGACTCCGTCTAGTTCCAGTGCACGGACCCCTTCTAATCGTAATGGACGGCACCCGTGTGAAAAGGACCTAAAGAGATTGTACAATTTGATTGTATAGTGCATGGTCAGCTTTTGTTGCACTATCTCTGGCATCTTACAGATGCCGAAAGTGTATAATTCTCTTTGAAAAAATGGTAGAAAAAGGGGAAAGGAGTTTTCATGGCAGAAGAGACAAAACAAAAAACAAACAAAAAACCGATGGCATCTAGCAAAATTTTTTTTAACTTCAGGTCCATTTCAGGGTGACCTCAGTGGTTTTTCTGACCCTGGCCTTATATTGTGGATAGATGTAGAAGTCCACTAACTGATTAATGGTACTTGTTCCTTGCAATTGCTCCTGATCACTATGGTGTATGCGGAGGATACGAACATTTATTGCTCTGAGACAGGGATAGACAAACCCCTGCCCTTCAGCTGTGGTGCAACTACAAATCCCATGAAGCATTGCAAGACCCTGGCAGACACAGGCAGATGCGTGAGGAATTTGTAGTTTCACCACAGCTAGGAGGGCCAGAGCTTGCCTACCTCAGATCTAAGAGGGTAACCTTATTTGTGTGCAGAGAGTTCCTGTAATTACGCCATTCCTCTACAAGGCTCTGGCACGTCCTTACAGCCGAGGCACTGACACAATGTGGTGCAATTTGGAGAAGAAAAAAAAAAAAGTAGAAGAAGGACTCAAGAATGTTTTAAGTTTTACTGCAATCAATTTATTGCAATTTTACACCAATATCCATATTAGTGTTCACTATTTTATTAAATCGCTTAACTTCTTACATTTTACAGAGCCAATGTATTATAAGGCATTTAGACTTTAATCTGTTTTATTTTTTTTCAAAATGCATACCTGTCAGCCATACACAATGGACGTGCCATTTTGGCAGCCACTAATGCTGAGAACAAAACACAGCCTAGCATAATTCAATAGAAACCAACAGCATCATCGTGGTGGTACACAATAATGATACTGGTTCCTAGTGAACTGATTGGCTGAATATAACACCGCCATTATTTATATGGCCGACAGGTAGAGTTTCAGCTTCTACAGGAATTACTTCCATCTTGTTCCTGTAAAATGTAAGCACGCGGTGGGGCTACCAGTGGATGGAGCAGTTACACACTGGCGTAATCCTTGGATAGGGTGACGCTCTTCCCATCATATTCATTGGTCTTCAGGCACCGAAGGAAGAAGTGGCTGAGGTCATGAGTGGATATCACATTACCTCCTCGTTCCTCTGACACTTTGTAATCTGTGGTGAGTGGCTTATCAGCTGTACATTGAGTGAGAGACAAAAGAAATAGTGTCAGGCACATGGTTCCCAAAACAAATAGAGTCACCATGTCAATTGTCTGTCAAGAGGGTCAATCTACAAAAACAACACCTTTCTCCCAATACTACAACCAATGGTAGTAGTACTACCGATAGTAGTACCAATGATCTACTACCCAATACAACTTATACAGCGACTGGACCTTAATTCACTTAGTACCGAACACCATACTGTGAAAGTGGAGAGTAGCGGGAACTGGTACTTAGGTGCTGTAAGTGGATCTTCTTCCCATGATGAAGGTTTTAGTATGTTGTAGGCATGTCAAGTTTAAATACCTACCCTGGCCTGCAGGATGATTGTAAGTTACAATGGCAACACTAGAATAATAGCCTGGGGGAGAGTCAAAGTGATCCTGCCACCAACCTAAAAAAATGCATGTAAAAATCACAGAAAAGTAATTACTTTAAATGCTCACTATGAGCTTCGTATAAAACTTCCACCCAGCTACCATTTGCACAGATGGCGCGGAATTTTTTATATTTATTAGTGCCATCTCGGGGTGCTAGTACCACGTGAAGGTTCATTAATGAAGCACATAGTCTTTCCTTTTCAGAAAGGATTTTTTATTCAACTGCAATGTGCCTTTGAACTGGCTAGAAAATTTGACTGCTCCAGTAGAGTCAATTCCTTAGCATAGCTCCCTCCTACTTGCACATTAGAGTCCTCTCCTCTTCTTGGAGTGTTAAAATTCTGACTGTGTTGGCCGATTTCCTCTGCCCCATCCCCTCCTTAAGTAACCTTTTAAGCTCGCTCCCGTGATGAACTACAATCTCACATTTAATTTACAGTACTAATTTGTATTGAGATTGTAGTCCATCACGGGAGCTTGGAGTGGTGGCTACTTTACAACACACACAGGGACCATGGGGAACAAAAGTAGCCCCCTCCAGAAGGAAGGACAGTGTCAGCACTAATTCAAAAATGATTTGAGGATCTACAGCCGAGTGATACACAAATAAGATACATTTTTGTTAATGGGAAAGGTATTTGAATGCATTTTTAAAGTTTAACTCCTGAGTTTATGGTCACTTTAACTTGGAGTGTAGGGTAGTTTCACTTTAAATGGAACCAGTCAGGACATAAATAAGGAAGTTGTCATAACCGATGCCTTTAAAACCAAGCTGGTAATGGCAGCTCATTTATTTCTATCCGGAGGTTTTCTTTACTCTGCCTATACAGTGAGTGCTTACATTGGCCAACCCAACCTGGACTGTGAGGTTTCATCTTTACAACATACAGCTGTACCTACACGGGAGGGAATATTTAAGTGAGAGATGACTATACCTGCATTAGGACAATTTTTCTACTGTTCTCCATAATTGCATTAGTGCCTAACTTATACCAAAAGTCCCATAATAAATGAAACAGCTGAATGATGACTGCATATACAAAGACATGGGAGCAAGTAATCTGACTTTTTATACCACCTGTCCAGTGTCCAAGGAAAGGACAATCAGTAGGGGATTTGTTTGCTCTGTAGACACTGACCCAGGGTTCAGCAATTGAAACAGCTGCATGATGACCACATACACAAAGACGTGGTATCCTATACACTGGCCCATGACTCATCAATTCTAGCTCATGCTGTGGTAGTAGGTATGATGTTTTCTCTCGAACTGTGAATCTTAATTCCCACATCCCCTGAAATGCAACAAATCACTAAGAAAAATACTGCTAACACTCCTGGCTCTCATAGCAAGTCTGTGCTACTCAAAAATCCACACTTTTCCTCTTCCCATGGGATGGGCCTCTGTAGTTCATTTAGAGTAACCAAGATGTCAACTTCATGGCAGATAGAGGTCTAGAGGTCATGATCAAACCAGGTTTAAGAAGAAGAATCAGCCATGCAGGACCAAAGAGCGGGGCCTAGATGTGCTGATCCCTGCACTTATTATTGTGCAATGAACTGTAAAACCAGCAAGGATGTGTCAACATTTAGGACGAAATACTACAATCACTAAGAAAGCACTATAGGAGGGCAATAAATGTCCCCATCCTGCCTCTGATCATGATGATCAGGCATTATGACATGGAGGTCTTCCAGCTTGCTAGAAAAGTCACGGTGTCATCCTTTCCTCTTCTCAATAATGAAAGGAAAGTGTTAATCGTGTGTACTGCACTTCAACCTGAAAGGGAAGTTACATGAGAAAGAGCAGCAGGTCCTGGAGCTACAAATGACCAGCTGATATCTAGTTGCCTGTACCCAAAAACCTGTGGCTAGCCTTAGGGCCTGTTCACATGTGTCTGTTTACTTAGAGAGATCATACATATTTTTTCCCTTTAAAGTAAAACATTTTGCATTACCATGCGTATAAGCAAATCTGTTCATTGCTCATATAAGGCAAAGCAACACATTATAAGCCCCACTCCTCTCCCCAACAGCACATACTCACCATCCTTTGTACCCTAACTGCTCCATTTAATCAACAGGCCCTAAGATAACACCAGGTACTACTGGGTACGTGGAAGCATTTGCCTCACTCTTTGTGGCAGGGCTGGGGCAATCACTGATCACTGTCCTATGGAGCCAGCCCATAGTCCTATGCAAGCCAGAATTACTTATAGCTTCTGCTCCCAGGAGCCCAACAGAGAGGCAATAGAACAGGGGTGGGGAACCTCCTGCTTTCCAGCTGTGGTGAAACTACAAATTCCATGAAGCATTACAAGATTCTCACAGCCGCAGGCATGACTCCCAGAGACAGATGCAGCATGGGAATTGTAGTTTCACCACAGCTGGAGGACCAGAGGTTCCCCGCCCCTGCAGAAGTGCAAAAGGGAAGGTGAGATTGTGCTGATGGGGTGATTGGAGATTAAAGTGAACCTGTTGCTTTGACCTGCATAGACATAGCACAGGTTCACTTTAAGCAGGGCCACTGAAATGGACAATAAAACGGCATCAAAAATGTGTATACATTAAAAGAAAAAAACTATCCCTAAATGCTTCTATACTACATTGCATAACCTGTAAACAAAAGAAGCATGTTAATCCATTCTAAAGTATGCGGTCAATCCACACAGTAACACATATTGTGAACCCGTATTACTGCATGTGCATAGTGCGATTAAGCCCTGCATGCGCATAGTGTGTTTAAGTCACCTGCAATGTGTGGAGGGAGCACAGCCACATAGTCCAGTCCGGAGTCCTTCAGGACCTGGTGCATCCGGATGTGATCCTCCGTCACCGGCAGAAGACGAGGGGGGACTTTAGCAATGTCCCATAGCAGAAAGGCTTGAAAAAGAACACAGAAATGGTTGCAGGAATCATTATGGACAAACATATCAAAACATTCCTATTCCATGCATTTATAAAATAGGAAACATAGCAATGTTGTACGTATCAACAAATCTTGGCAGTCTTTTTCTAATATGCATTTTCAGAAAGCGGTCAGGAGTGGCAGTCCCAATATCTCTCTTTTTTTTTTTTTAAATTTCTTTATTGATAAACAGCTCAAAATGTGTACACATAAAGAGGGTGCGGCGTACCGCCCAAAACGTAGTGCAAAAGATAATATCACATTCCTGAGTCACGCAGGGATACAACAGCGGGCCTGCTACTCATAGATACACATTCTGTTTAACAGGTATAGTCCGCAGCACACGTGAGTCAACATACTGAATTGGTAACATATACAATGTGTTACAAAACATCACTGGTATCATCCTTCCACATCTTGGTATATTAACATTTCCACCGCCTGTGAAACCATAGTAAACTAAACATTCGCGGTGTGATGGTGGATTTTCCACTTGTGCGCTACAGGGTGAACTCCTGCAGCGAAGAGCGCCAGGAGTTTATCCTATATCGTTTTGTCAGAAAGTAAACAAGTGGGGGATGGCCACCATGACCCGCAGATATGTATCAGAGTAACGGAAATGGAGCCATGCACCCCAGGTTGAGCAGAAGCGCTCCCCGGAGATATGTACAGTCGAGGTGAGATCCTCCATTCGATATACATCATTGATCTTCTCAAACCACATGCGCCTGGTAGGGGGAGTGGTTTGCCTCCACAGCATAGGGATGCACGCCTTGGCAGCAGAGACCAGGTGAATAGTGAGAGACCTCTTGTATTTGGTAATGGGTGTGGCCGACATGTGTAGTAGGTAGGTCGCAGGTAGGTCACCCAGGTCAGCCATGGTAAGTTGATTTAAGGTTTCCCTGACAGTATCCCAGAAGGGTCCGAGCTTGGGGCAAAACCAGAAAATGTGGGACATCGTTCCTCTCCCTACCTCGCATCTCCAACATGTGTATGGCACTAACGGAGTGGGGACCCTGTACCACCTGGACAAAATTTTGTAACCCTGTTCTTGAGTCTGATTGGCTATAGAGGCTTTGTGGGTGGCCGATAGAGCTGTGGCCCGTTGCTCCCCCGTGAACACTTGGCCCAGCTCTTCCTCCCATTTCTTCAGGAATGGGGGACAATAGTCCTGTGGGGGGGATATCAGCATCCCATACAGGGTCGCAATCACATGTCTTAGTGGTTGTCCTTGTTGACATAAGGATTCAAATGGCATTAGGTCTCGTGTGGGCAGCGCAGAGTGGGGGATCGCCATCAGGAAGTGCCGCAATTGCATGGCTGCCCAAGTGCTGAGGGGGGGATACTAATGCGCTAATAGAGGCTTGGGGTAGCCATTGTCCGCTCTCAAAAAGATCTAATAAGCGAAACTTATTTGCCTTGTATAAGTCCTTAAAGCGCGCATCGTCCATACCAGGGCCGAAGTCCGGATCTCCCAACACAGGGGTCATGGGTGATGGGAATGGGGAGAGGGGTGTGTTTTTGAATGTCTCCCGGGCTGTTCTCAGAGTCGCTCCTATAGTGGGGTGTGACATCAGGGCCGGAGTGAGTGGCACCGTAAGCCACGGTAGGCCCTCCAAGGGCGTCCCATGGTCCTCCAGTTCCATCCTCACCCATTGTTTACATTCTTGGTTACAAGTCCAATCCACTACCCTAGCGAGGTGGACCGCCCTGTAGTACATATGGATGTCAGGGAGGCCCACTCCACCGTGTTGTTTCTGCAGTGTAAGAATTTTATTCCCGATCCGGGGATGGCATCCTGCCCAGACAAACGTGGTGAACAAGCATCGCAATTTATGAAAAAACCCTGGTGGTAAGTGAATGGGTAGGGCCTGCATCGTGTACAGTATTTTCGGGAGGATTATCATCTTGATTGAGCTGCATCTGCCAAACCATGTCAGATACAGCCCATTCCAGCGTGAGAATTCTTGGCTAATGTGGAGAAGTAAGGGAGCATAGTTGGTAGAGTACAAATTGATAAGGTCTGGGGTGAGCATAGTCCCCAAGTATTTAATGTGGGCAGTAGCCCAATGAAATTGGAACCGGGTTTTAAGTAGGGAGACCATAGTTGCCGGTAGGGTAATGGCCAACGCCGCGGATTTACAGAGGTTTATCTTAAAGTCCGAGAGGTGACCGTAAAGTTCGATGGTCCAAAGCAAATGGGGGAGTGAATGTAAGGGGTCGGGCAAAAAAAAAAGTAGATCATCTGCACAGGCAGCTATCTTGTGTTCACCCGAGCGTTTGGAAAAGGCCAAGATATCCCGGCTAGAGCGCACAGGGCATAAGAGTGGTTCCAGGGTGAGGACAAAAATGATGGGGTATGGAGGGCACCCCTGTCTGGTCCCGTTACTGAGTGAGAAGTATCCAGAGCGGGTTTCGTTAACATTTACCGCAGCCGTGGGACATGAGTAAAGCGCAGTTATCCACTTATGCATATTGGGGCCCAACCCTATGTGATCAAGAACGGCATGCATGAAGGACCATCGAACCCGGTCGAAGGCCTTCTCCGCATCCGTGGACAGGAGCATCAAAGGGGTCCCTCGTGAGCGAGCGTTATGTACTATATTCAGAGCCCTGATAGTGCTGTCTCTAGCCTCTCTCACAGGGATAAAGCCCACCTGGTCATAATGGACGAGCTGCGGCAGGACCGGTAGCAGGCGGTTGGCCAGTATCTTGGAAAACAGCTTAAGATCTACATTGAGCAGGGCAATCGGACGGTAACTGCCACACTGAGAGGGGTCTTTGTCTGGTTTCGGGATGAGGGTAATGTGAGAGCGGAGGAGGTCGTCAAGAACGACTGCGCCCGATAGTATAGTATTGAAGGCCGTTACAAAATGCGAGTTAAGGGTCTCAGAGTAGGTTTTATAATAGGTCAGGGTATAACCGTCCGGCCCAGGGGCCTTCCCTGTCTGTGCCTGTTGTATGGCCAATGTAAGCTCTTCCTCTGTGATGGAAGCCTCCATGGCCAACCGTGCCTCTGCACAGAGTACTGGCATTCCTTATCGTAAGAGGAAGGCTCGCGTTGCGGTGGGCAAACCCGGAGAGAGATCACGACCCCCAGGGGGGTGCAAGTTGTATAGTTCTTGGTAGAACCGAAGAAACTCTCCGGCCATGGCCTGAGATGTACGAAGTTTAACCCCGGAGGCTGAGACAATAGAGGAGATAAACTGTCTGGGTCTCTGACATCTTAGTGCCCTAGCTAGTAGGCGACTGGGTTTGTTAGAGTATTCATACATAGTTCTCTTACCACGCATGAGGCTCCTTTTGAACTTGGTGAAGAGTAGGGTGTTGAGGTCTTCTCTGACCTTCAACAACTCCTGGTACGTCTGTTGTGCAAGGGAGCTCTTATGCTGCATCTCAAGCTGATGGAGGTGTGAGAATAGACGGGTGCTTTCCGCTAGGCGGGACCGCTTGAGTTTCGCCCCCTGCCGCATGAGGATACCCCTCATGATACATTTATGTGCTGCCCATACAGTCAACGGAGGGGTAGGCGTTAGTGGCGAAGAAGGAGCGGATCTCTTGGGCGAGGGAAGCTCTAAACCCAGGTTCCTGTAGCAGGGACTCGTTGAGTCTCCATGAGGAACAGGTGGATCTCGATCCTGCTAGATCTAGCGTGACGTGAATGGGGGCATGGTCGGAGGTGAGTATAGGGGCTATGTCTGTCGATATCAGTGTCTGTATGTCTTTATGTTGGACAAAGAAGTAGTCTATTCTAGAATAGGTATGGTGGACTGGAGAAAAGTAAGTGTAGTCGCGTCCATCAGGGTTAAGAAAGCGCCAAGTGTCGGTCAAGCAAAGCGAATGTAATTCCTGCTTCAGCTTGCTCAGGCATGTGTATGATAGATGGGACGTGCCCCTGGCACATCTACTAGGGGGTCTAGGGCGAAGTTGAAATCCCCCCCCAGGACCAGGGTGCCCTCCATAAAGTCTGCCAGTAAGGGTAGAACCGATGCTAGGAAGGATACCTGTTCTGTGTTGGGTAGGTATACATTTGCAAAGTGTACACACTTCCGTTGATTTCCCCCTTCAGGAAAAGGTATCTTCCATTGGGATCTGAACAATGGGCTCTATACAACCATGAGACCGACCTGGAGACCAAGATGCTGACCCCCTTGGATTTAGATATCGGAGAGGTGCTGTGATATACCACTGGATAGTCTCTGCTGCCAAGTGCGGGCACCCTGTCACTCCTAAAGTGTGTCTCCTGTAAAAAGACAACCTGTGAGCGCATTGCCCTCAGATTTGCCATCAGCCTGTGCCGTTTCTCAGGGGCACCGAGGCCCCGAACATTCCACAAGGTAAATTTGAGAGAGGTCATGACCACTAACCCGGCCGTCAGCTGTTCCCGGGTGGGCAGTGGGGTACGAGGGGTGAAAGAAGGGAGGAAGGGGGACAGGGATGGAGAATTGGAATAGGTTTAGGAGGGAGATGTCAGGCTAAGAGGGTTAAGAGGAGAGAGTCAGAAGCGAAAGGGGGAAAGGGAAGTAAGGGGTCGTTGAAGAGTATTTCTCCAACCGTTGTTGGTACTATACTTCCAAGCTATCTCTTTTGGTTATAAACGAGATAGCGGGCCTATTGGGGG